GATGAATAGAAGGTAGGAGACAAAAGAGTAGAAACAGAGTAACATTGCCTGCCTATAATTCACGAAATGTCTGTTCAGACAGTGGGAGAGTCCACTCTGTCCACTCTGAAATGGCTTTATTAATTGTTTTTTAATGTATAGGAAGAATTAATTCTCCAGGCATGGAGAGCACAGATGAGTTAATGCACAAGATATACATTTAAACCAGAAAGAAATAGGCAAATACGAATTTCTAACAAACGAGACCCTGGACAACACTGCTGGATTTTGGTAAGTGATCCAGCCACCCCTCTGAGTTGTAGCATCCCTAGAACAGGAAGACAGGTGAAGAGTTGTGGACTAACTATACTTTCTAAACTTACCTGAAAACACGATGTCTTAATTAAGATGATCAAATATGAGGTCTTAATTAAGATAGAACATTTAAAGTAGAATTAGGATTTTAGGAAATTCCTTGGTGGTCTAGTGGTCAAGACTTGGCATTCTCACTGCCAGGGCCCTGGGTTCGATCCCTGGTTGGGGAACTAAGAACCCACAAGCTGTGTGGTGCAGCCAAAAAAAAAAAAAGAAATTAGGATTTTATTATTAAGAGTGGTTACTAAGGAGAGCGATGATTCTCAATCTATAGAACAGGTTGGAAATGCAGCCCAGGACTTAAACTACAGGTCATTTCAGAGACAACTACACCACTTGCTAAATATAAAGAAGTTCTTTACTTTCTGCCCTCCCAGAGGCATCTTCTCCCTGTGGTTGTTTCTGATACATTGTATTTACTGTCCAATAAGAGTTTGTTTGCCTTAGAAGAGTGATTAATGTCACTCCAAAATATTATAACAATTTTAAAAGTATTTTTCTTTACCGGATTAGCACATCCCTCATTGTAGCACAACATATCACACAATGCTTTTTATATTTGTGCTTTCTCAGTGTGCTCTGAGTCAATAACTTGGACTCTTCCTCCAGGCAAACAATTTTCAGGCTGCCAGCGTTGTCGTTATTTCACTCAGTGATCATTCTCACACTGCCTTAGACACAGGACTCCCTTTAATTTTAAAAGAAGAAATGTTTCTCAGGAGCTGACATTACCTATCTAGGGTCAAGAAAAGTCCACATGAATAATAAAATACTGTAATTTCAGATTCTGAAACTGTAAAGTGGCTTATGTGCATGAATCTGGGCTCTAGAGGCCCAAGGGCTGACATTCCCGATATTAAGTGCAGTATGATGAGCTCCAAGCTCCTTGATAAGGACAGAAGTCACGTTCACAAATGACCGCGATGCCAGGAAGAGGGTACGAGTGCCACAGAAAGAAGCACAAGTGTTATGCAAGTTCACAGGAGGGAGAGAAAACCGATGGCTGGGCTGCCTTCGCTGTAATGAGTGCCAATGCTAGGTATTTTGGAAATAAACAAGTGGGTCAGCAAAATCACTAATGGGATATACTTCAACCTGGAAAACCTTTACAGAGAGAGTGGGTACTATAGATAACTTGCTTCATTCGATTTTCTAACTGAAAAAGAAATTGAGATATTCCTGACAGTACATTAACCACTTGAAAAAAAAACTGCTAGGAATACAAATCACTGGAAAAATTAAGTAATGCGGGAAATATTTGCTAAGGCTGTTGTGCTTATTACATAAATAGTTCCACACTGCACAGCTTTCTTAGTTACATCCATTACCGGTTCTATTTATTACTATTAGCACTTTTATTGAGTCTTCCTACCAGTACTTACTGAGTCCTTGTTATACGCCAGGCAGTACATTTGGCACTAGGAAGGGAGTGATGAATGAAACACACCTGGTTGCTACTTTCATGAACCAACCACACAAATAACTATATAATCGCAACTGTGCTAAATGGCATGAAGGAAAAGTATGAGGTACTTTCTTGCCTGGGAGTGTCAAGGAAATCTTTCCTGAAGAAATGACATTGATGGTGAGGCTTGAAGGTTGAGTAGGAATAAAGCTGGTGAAGGGAATGGAGGGTTTGTAGGGGAATGTTCCCAAAAGGGGGAACACTGTGCCCCAAGGGCGCAAGGCGGGAAAGAACACAGTGTAGAGGAGGGGAGAGAGGGGAACATATGAAGCTTAAGAGATTGGGAGGAGCTAGATCAGAGCCCTGACGGGCATGCTAAAAATTTTGAACTTCATCCTAAAAGCAAAAGGTTTTCAAGCAGGGAAGTGACATGCGAAGGTTATGTTTAATCTGTGGCTTTGGCTGATATTGGGAGCCAAGAATGACTGGGCAGGGGGCAAGGAGCTGTGAGACCAGTTGGGAGGCTCTCATGATCGCAGCTCAGGTGAAAGAGGGTGGTGCCCTGCTTGGAGTGGTGGGTTTAGAGAGAGAGAGAGAGAGAGAGAGAGAGAGAGAGAGAGAGAGAGAGCGCAGTTGGATGTCTCAAGGCATGTATTAGAAGAACTACGAGAGAGCTTCCCTGGTGGTGCAGTGGTTAAGAATCTTCCTGCCAAGGTAGGGGACACAGGTTCGAGCCCTGGTCCGCGAAGATCCCTCATGCCACGGAGCAACTAAGCCCGTGCGCCACAACTACTGAGCCTGTGCTCTAGAGCCCCTGAGCCACAATTACTGAGCCCGCATGCTGCAACTACTGAAGCCTGCACGCCTAGAGCCGGTGCGCCGCAAAAAGAGAAGCCACCGCGATGAGAAGCCCGTGCACCACAACGAGAAGCCCGTGCACCACAACGAAGAGTAGCCCCCCGCTCGCTGCAACTAGACAAAACCCGCATGCAGCAACGAAGACCCAACACAGCCAAAAATAAGTAAATTTAAATAAATAAATTAAAAAAAAAAAAAAAAGAAGAACTACGAGAACTTGGTGACTGGGTAGACATCTGGGTTTGGGGGCTGAGGGATAAGGATGTGTCAAGGATCATTCCCAGCTTTTCTAATTAGGTGGGTGGAGGTGCTATTTACTAAGAGGGGCAGATGAAGGAAGAGCAGATGCAAAGGTCTGATGACTAGTTGAGTGTGAGACGTCTATGAGTCATCCAAGCAGAGATGTCAAGCAGGCTGTTGGATAATCAGGTCCAGACTCAGAGGAGAGGTCTAGAGACGCAAATTTGAGGACCCCTGGCAGGTACGTAGTATTTGAAGCCATGGAGGGTAGGTTTGGCAGGTAGGGAGAAGGAAAGGGGAGAGAAGACTTAGGGACCAAGGATCAAACCCTGAAGCTGGTCAATATTAGACCGTCTGTGAGAGCGCTGAATGTCATGCATGAACATCTGCATATCAAACCAGGTACCTCACTATCATACTGTATTTTCATCTCCTATTCTAGTAAGAATGCATAGACACTCAGTTTAAAAGGACTGCATGTAACCCAAACTGGCATCGTTCAGGAGAGATGTAAAAGACAGTAGGGTCCCAACCACTAACACGGAGCAGGCAACGAGAGGAACAAAATCTGTTTCCTGCTGAAAAAGTTACACAAACTGTCTTTTAGTTAAAGAGTGCCGTTTTGTATTTCCTATTCACCAATGGAGCCAACTAGGGATTGGAGTTAGAAGGATAACGAACCCCGTAGGAAATCCCAAACATAGAAGCAGGCCAAGTCCTTGCGCAGGTGGCTGCTGCTGAGCCCTGCATAGAGACACAGGCCTCCCGGAACCTGGAAGGTCCTGCGCAGGCCTTGTTTCACTTCCCCTTTCCAGACTTATTTCCCATGACTGCCCTGAATATTCCTTCCACTCCAGGCAAACAAACCTTTGCTTTTCCACCTCTGTGTTTTTGTTCACGGCCCGTGACGTGCTTCGCCCACACCTTCACGTTATATACGTCTTTCCAGGTCCACCTCTGATGCTAGCTGATCTCTTCCAGGTGAAAATAATTTCCCCCTTTTCAATATGTCCATAACCAATTATTTGTGCCTCTCTGAGCACTTCATGCTTTCTACCCTGAGCTCCCTTTATTTGGATATATACCTTATGTTCCCTTCTAGGCTACAGGCTCCTAGAGGGCAGTGGGCATGTCTTGCATGTTTATATTCCTGATCGCAACAAACACTGAAGCCTGTATTGCTCCAACAGCAGAGGAGGAGTACTTATTTCTGAGGTATTTCTATTCAGTTGCGATTCCCAGGCTGATAATGTTTATGTGCTATGAGAAGGGAGCAGGAAAACATTTATTCATTTCCTTTTGTTCCTGCAACTACAGTATACAGGAACACAGACTGAATTGTTAATGCTGTGAAACTCCTAAAACTTACAGCACGTCCAGAATTCTGAATTAGCGGGAAAAAGGCAAGAAGCAATGCGACACCTTCTTTTACATTAATGGTGTTCAAAGACCAGGAAAATGTTAGTACATATTTTTAGTCCTCTTCACGGCCTTCGACAGCCACAACCTGCTGTGCGCTGCGGACTGACAGCGGCAACTGCACAGAGCCTCCTCCTGCTGTAAGGCGGCAGTCTGTCTAGCTTGTTTGCTGCCTACCCCAGTTTAAGCACCGGTTCCCCAGTATCATGCTGTCCTCCATCCTTCCTCATGGGGCCCTTCCCACTCCCTGCTGTGTAACACCTAACATGCATCACGATGTTTTACCTGCTAGCCCACGATTTGTGTGCTCCTTAAAGATACAAGGGGTCTCCTGGGGAAGGGTTACCTATAGCAATTTTTTTTGTTTTTTTTTGCGGTACGCAGGCCTCTCATTGTTGTGGCCTCTCCCGTTGCGGAGCACAGGCTCCGGACGCACAGGCTCAGCGGCCATGGCTCATGGGCCCAGCCACTCTGTGGCATGTGGGATCTTCCTGGACCGGGGCACGAACCCGTGTCCCCTGCATCGGCAGGCGGACTCTCAACCCCTGCACCACCAGGGAAGCCCCCTATAGCAATTTTTAAAACGGCATAGTACATGTTAAATCCAAGTCAAAATGTTTTAGGATAGCAAAAACCTCCAGATGTATCTAAGCCGGTTGTTCATATTTGAGGCTGGAATCGTACTAATAAAATAACAGTGCTCCTTGTCACCGTATGGACTTACCTCTTTGGTAACACAAGGAAGCAACACTGCCATATTACAGAACTTCACAGCAGTATCTGTTTGTTCAAGATCAATATAACACTAGAAATGAAAAAATAATCAATATGAAGCTTAATCACATTTTTGTGTAATGAAGTCAAAGTGATCTTAAAACTGTGGTCTTCATTACCTTGGCCAAGAACATGTAATTGGACTTAGAAAACCCAGGGTGTAGTTCTTCGACCTGATTTTCAGAGAAAACAGAAAAGAGAACAACAGAGAAATACTAAAACAATAAGTAAAGTAGATCTATTTCAATAAATCAGACATTAACCAAATTGCCCTAAGAATTTAGGATGGTTGTGTCACATGTGAATCATTTTATTAGCTCAAGTATCCTTTGGGTAGAAATATAGCTTTTGAGCTTATCCATTAAAATAGAATTATTATTGTGGTCATAAAGTTTACAAAGCAATGAGATACTTTAAGATTTTGTATAACTTGTTATACAAAACAAAGGTATAACCATCCTCTGTATAACCATCTTCCTCACTTCCCCTTCTCTATCTTTTGTGTTTTTTTCTTTCAGGGACAAAACAACTGGTGATACACTCTCCCCAGGACAAGTCCCCACAATCTCTTTGGGAGGCATGAGTAGAACGTGACTGACATCACATGGCAAGCGTCTTCCACTACATGAATATTTGATTTCTTAGGATCTCAACACACTCCGTACGAGCTGAATAGTAACTGAGGTCCATCACATCAAGTTCTTTCAAAGAAAATGCAGATTCTTAAAATAACTAGTCCAAGTAGCAGGCCTCCTTGCAGATTTTAATACGTGGGTATTATAAAGGTACTTTACCCCTCATCTGCTAATGTCTCACGTACCAGCTCCTTTTCTCTATCTCTGGTAAATAAGAATTCCGCCAGGTATATGGTGTCGCTACTAGAGAGCTCTTCTTAGAACCTAAGTCAATCTTTGCATCGGAGCCAGGTTTTGCTGTTGTAAAGGTCTATGCAAGGAAGCTCCCAACCCGACCCGGCCCCCAACACAGAGGGACACAGAACCCAAAAGAAGGATACTTTAAAAAATTTATAAAAGTATGCTTGTTTTACAACACACTAACAATCCAGACATTTCCAAAATTAAAAAGTGAAAGTTTCTCGGTTAGAATCTTATTCTCAATTACGATCTCAGCCCCCAGGGGTAACCACTACCAACAGTTTGACAAATGCATCCTACAGACATTTTACCAAGCAGAGTAACCCGCCCTCTCCAAAGGGAACAGATTTTTGAAAAAAAAAACTTTTTAATGGGACCATTTCCTACATATTGGTCCAAAACTTTTTCCCCACAACATACCACAGATACATTTTTGTGTTCACATACAAGATCTCCCTCATTGTTTCTAAGAGCTGCATTTCATACTACACATATACCATAATTAAATTAAGCGTTCTCCCTTAGACATTTAGACTTATTTTTCACTATTACTAATAATGATCAGCGAACATACTTGTTCCTATATGCTTGTGTGCATGTGATTACATGTGTAGGAGAGATTCCCAGAAGTTGAATTGCTGAGTCAAAGGATACATACATTTTAAGGACGGATACTAATGGAGGGGAAAGCAAGACCTAGGGTGCTGAGGAGCGTTCCAACACCCTACAGGAGCACATTCCTTGTAGAGGCCATTTACTCTCTACAGAACCCCAAAGAGAAGGGTCCTGGGAGGAAGAGGAGGACAAAATCTCTTGGGTTGGGAAGCCAGACTGGGTGTACCTCTTTCAGACCGAGCAGATGGACAGTGTGTGGATCTGGCCTAGAACCTGCTAGTGAAGCAGCAAGGCTGCGAACAGACTGAAGGAAGTCCAGTCCTGGCCGGAGTCTTGAAAGTCCTATAGAGCCATCCATGGTGCTGATGGGTTCTGGTCCTCCCACTTCCTCTCTACTTCTCCGGTTATTTCCATTGTCACTCTCTGAGTTTACTAAGTGCATTTCTCGAGCCACGCTAATACAATTTTTGTATATTTACTAAATAAATAAGTCACAGGTATGAAATGTATGGTGTGGGGAATATAGTTAATAATTATGTAACATCTTTGTATGGTGACAGATGGTAACTAGACTTAACGTGGTGATCATTTTGAAACGTATAGAAATATCGAATCACTATGTTGTGCACCAGGAACTAACATAGTGTAGCAAGTCAATTATGCTTCAAAAACAAACAAACAAACTCATAGAAAAAGAGATCAGATTTGTGGTTACCAGAGGTGGGGGTGAGGGTGTTGGGAGGGGAGAGGAATTGGAGGAAGGCAGCCAAAAGTTATAACTTCCAGTTATAAGATAGATAGTACTAGGGATGTAATGTGCAACAGGATCAATATAATTAACACTGCTTATGTTATATATGAAAGCTAAGACAGTAAATCTTGAGTCCTCATCACAAGGAAAATTTTTTTTTCTATTTCTTTAATTTTGCGTCTACATGAGATGATTGATGTTCACTAAACTTACTGTGATAATCATTTCGTGATGTATGTAAGTCACATCATTACGCTGTACACTTATATAGTGCTGCATGCCAATTATACTTAAATATAAGTGGAAGAAAAAAAAAGGACCTAGAGTAAACTTTATTCGATTGTACCTTCTATGTCCAGTAGTTCCCCCAGTTCTGAACAAATCCTATCTAGATAACTTGCCCCAACATATGCACACAGCAGCTTCTTATTTCTTTAATGTTAGAGTTTTAATTCTGCATATACACCTTAACACTTATGTCAAATTAACCAGAATGATCATAAATCAGAACATCTCTTTTTGTACTCATGGTTAAAAAAAAAAAAAGTCCAAAGGAACATAGGCAGGCTACTAACAACACCTAAGTCCTAAAACGGAGCAAATCCTGACCTTTGCCAAAGGCCTTAGTGGAGTAACAAGGAAAGTAGTGTTACTCAACAGAATGTTCTGATTAAGGGGCAGTTTCTAGCTATGCTCTTATAACACTATCACAACACCTGGCAGAGAATACTGTACCTGTTTACTTCGTTTTGGTTGTCCAAGCTCCCTGGAGGCAGGAGCTGTGTTGGTCATTTGTGTTCCCTTCATTTGGACTAGGTATGTGCTTAATAAACATTGCTGAATAAATTAGCTTTGTTTTTAAAACATCTCATAACCTCGTGCAGCAGCCCTCTGTCATATCAAGGCACAGAAGACAGCTCTGCAGCTGGTGGAACCACTAAGGAAGACTCAGGGATCATGTGACAGCAAACAGTGAGTGACATCAGGGTAGCCAACATTGCCCCACCTGTCATTTACTACACACACCGATCCACTGGTTCTTAACCATGCCATGGGCTGCACATGAAGGACCTTGAGAACTTTAAAAACGCTGATCAAGCTTTAAAAACCCTTACCATATGACCCCACAATTCCACTCCTAGGTATTTGTCCAAGAAAATTTAAAACGTGTCTACACAAAAGCTTGCAAATGAATGTTCATAGAAGCTTTATTCATAACAGCCCCAAGCCGGGAACAGCGAAAACATCCACCAGTAGGTAAATGCATGAGCAAATGGTGGTATATCCATATGATAGAACATTACTAGGCAAACAAAAAGAACTACAGATACCCTCAGTAGAATGACTGCAGCTCAAAACATTATGCTGAGCAAAGAAGCCAGACACACACAAAGTACAAACTCTAAGATTCCATTAATACGAAATTTTCAAATAGGCAAAACTAAGCTATAGTGACAGAAAACAGATCAGTGGTTGCCTGGGGCACGAGGCAGGGGTAACTGACAGCAAAGGGGCAAAGACAGCTCTTTAGGGTGACGGAAATGTTCTGTATCTTGAAATGGAGATGGATATGTGAGTATACCAATTTGTCAAATTTCACTGAACTACACAGAAAATGGGTAAATTTGATTGTATATAAACTATACCTTAATATATTCAGAGATTCTGAAATAATTAGTCTGGGTTGTGGCCTGGGCTGGCGTTTTTTAAAGCTCTCCAGATGATTCTAAGGTATAGACAAGGTTAAAAACCACTGACCGAGGGAATCATGCCATAATTTTGGATGAGGTGGGAAGCATGCTATAGCTTGAAAAAATTCCAGCAGGGGATTCACAGATGACTCCTGGTCTAAAACCACCTCCCTAGATGCTTTGAGACTGTGGAGGACCAGATTTCACCTGTTATATGAGCAAAATAATAACAACATTTATTTTCAGTTAGTGCATTTAATGTGCTAGACCCTGGGCCAAGAAAATTACATGCATTATTTTATGTAATTTTCACAAAAACCAGATAAAGTAGGTATTATTATGCATGCCTACTTTACAGATGAAAAATTTATGACTGGGAGAAATAAACATGCCCATGTCATACATATAGGAAAAGGTTCGGGTCTCAAACTGTCTGATTCCAAAGCCAGTGCTCTTGATCTCTACAGGACTGAACTGGATGGCTCTGGGGACTCATTCCTGTGAACCCTCTTTGGAGGCATGGAGTGGGTGCAGAAGTTCTACAGTCTGGGTTCCAATGACGTGACTCCCTGTTGGGACCAGGGGGTTGCAGACTCTCCTGGGGTGTGGGATCCAAGGTATGTGCTGCTTCCTTTTCCACTCCTCTCCCGTCCTAGATTTCTTAGTTCCTCCACGCCTTAGCCTCCTCAGTACCCTCAGGTGTTGCAGTAAATACGGGGAGAAGCATTCCTGATGCCTTCTCGCCCTCTTGACAAACACCATGGAACGCATTTCAGACAATCTAAGTCATAACTAAATGGTGAGGTCGCAAAGATGGTCTGCCAAGGTGTTTACATTTTAATGAAGTTAAAACTCTGAGCTTTTATTGAGCACTTATGAGTTGCTGGGCATTCTCTAAGCAATTTGCTTGTATTAACTCATTTAATCTTCACAACAACACTATGAAGGGTTGTTCACAACAACTTCACAACAACAACTATAACCTCCATGTTATCGATTAAATTGAGAGAGAGAGAGATTAAGTACTTGCTCAGTGCTAATCAGCCAGTAAGAAGTAGAACTGGGATTTAACCAGGTGCTCTGGTTCTAGAGTTTGCAATCCTTATCCTACATTATTGTGCCTCTTACTACTTTTATCTGTGTAATACTTCAGGTGCATGAGCACCTTAAGAACTTTCGTGCAGTGTCCTGAAAACCTGACCCTCCAGTTATAACTTTGATACTATGAAAAAATGGGTTTCAAATTCAAATAAATTTTTTGCTAATGAACATAGCACCTTTTATAAGTCATTTATCTTAAATGCACCATGATCTCTATTCTTGTAAAATTTAACATGGGAGAACTAATTCTCAGTGGTAGAAAAAAGGTGACGTGATGATAATGCACTCCTATTTTTGACCTGCCATTGTGTGACATTGGAAAAAATTACATTCCTGAGGTCTTGTTTTGTTATAAAACAAAAGAGATCACACTAAATAAAAAATAAGAAACATACAGCCCTTGTACTTGTATTCCCATACTTTTTTCCATTGGGCTCATGCTTGATTTTAGAATACTTATTTTTTCACTGTTCAGAGAAGTGCAATGCAACATATTTGCCATCTTAGATTATATGATCTCTAAACTCTCTCTCAGTTCTACAAAATCAATCCCTAAAATATAACAAAAAATATTAGCCTGTACAATATGTTGGACAATTACCAAAATCGGAGCCTGGTTTTGTCTACATTGTTACAAACCTGAAGTAGGCAGGTGGTGAAAGAAAAAAAATCTTAGTATCTATAAGATTCCATAATTGGTTCCAGAGAAAGATGAAGCGATTAGCCCAACAGGAAGTTGGTTAAATGGGTGGATGTATTACACATTTTCATGTGTGCATACACACACATTACTATATAGAGTTTTATCAGCATAGCAATTGTACATTTTAAGACAGGAATGAAAACACTGGTTTGGTCTGATGCCCCACAAATATTCCATAGAACTGTCTGCGATTCATAGAGTGACTTTTTAAATAACTCCCCTTCTTGGAAACTTTTAGTTCTTTAAGATGAAACTGGTTCTATATTAGGATAATGAGGAGTATTTAGGACCAAGTCTAATAATCAGGGCATGAATGCTTTTGCACATATTCACACGACCTGGAAAGCTACACTGGATTTGGCAGTAAGGGCTGCCACACCCAGGACCTAGGGCATAACTATGATCTAAGAAGTAGTTTGGACATGCCAAAATGAGGACTCAATCTGGGCTTACAGTTAGAAATCAACAAATGGAGAAGAGAAAGATTTCCTTGACAGCAAGAGTAGGAGAGCCTGGTGCAGATAGGAGCCAGTTTGACACTGAAATAATGGATAGACAAAATGTACCTTAAGGAAATTTTGCAAAGCTTCTTGTACAGTTGCAGATGGTATTTTTCCAAACAGAGTAGCAGCCATTTTTTTCTCAATCCAGCTCAGTTTTGAGACCTGCAAATATAGAGCAAATCACTCTTAGAAAGTTGTTCACCTTTTGAATGAATAATCTCTCCCCAGTTAGATGAGTGTGAGATATCACCTTTATGGTATTAATATTTTGCCTTCCTTTTTTCATAATTCTAACAAACTGTGAGCTCTAAAAGCACTGGTTACCAAACCAATTTGAAATACTCATAAGGTTTGTGTCCAATGAGGGAAAAACGGGGTGGGGGTGGGGATTAACGCTGATCCTCTTTGTTCATGTGCTTCTTGATCCTGAGATGACACATAGTATTTCTTTGCACAGGGTGTAGTAGCTACAAGACCCTACCTTTGCTCTCTTGCCACCTTTTCCATGCTGCCAACCTGACCCAGAATGCAGCATCTCAGAAATGTAAACAGAACGAGGATCCTTAACCCACGAGGAGTGTACAGTGAGGGCCCGGTATAAATATTTATAATTCAGGATAATTTTTTTTAAACCCGATGAACACCAAAATTAAACCTCATATTACCATTTGTTTTTTGCTTTCTTTTTAAATTTTTTCACTCTTCCCAAATACGAATAATAGATATATAACATAAAAGATTAAAAGGATTCAGGGGAATTCCCTGGTGGTAAAGTGGTTAAGACTCCACACTTCCAATGCAGGGGGTCCAGCTTCGATTCCTGGTCAGGGAACTAGATCCCACATGCATGCCGCAACTAAGAGTTCTCATGCCACAACTAAGGACCCGGTGAACCACAACTGAGGAGCCCACCTGCCACAACTAAGGAGTCCAGGTGCTGCAACTAAGGAGCACACGTGCTGCAACTAAGAAGCTGGTGAGCCACAGCTGAGGAGCCTGAGAGCTGCAACTAAGGAGCCTGCTGGCCACAACTAAGACCCAGTGCAACCAAATTAATTAATTAATTAAATATTTTTTAAAAAGATTCAGAAATGAATTCTTAAAAGGGTACTATGCTCTCCCAATGCCATCAAGTGTCTTCCTTCCTAATCCCATCTTCTAGGGTTCTAGGTAGCCATTAACCTCTATTTAAAAAAAAATTATTCCATCAATATTTTATAATAACTATACATGGAGTGTAACCTTTAAAAATTGTGAATTACTATCTTGTACACCTGAAACTGACATAATATTGTACATCAACTTTAGCTCAATAAAAAAAGAAAAGAGGTACAAACTACTATATATAACATAAATAAGCTACACGGATACACTGTACAGCACAGGGAACATAGCCAATATTTTATAACTTTCAATGGGGTATAATCTATAAAAACTATGTTCACTACGTTCTACACCTGAAACTAAGATAATATTGTAGGTCAACTATACTTCAAAGAAAATACGATCCCCCCAAAATTATTCCCTCGCTTTTCTGTATAATGTTAATTTATTGCCATGCTTATTTTTCTATTTTTGAACTTGAAAAAAAAGATATGTTGTTTATTTCCTTCTTTGGCTTATTGTTTTCACTTAGCATTATAGTTTTAAGATATCATCCAGATTGATGAGAGTAACTGAAGTTCAGTCACTTAAACAACTCTGAGATATTCCAGAGTTGTCTATTTAGGTCTTCTGCCCATTTTTCGGATTGGGTTGTTTGTTTTTTTAATATTGAGCTGCATGAGCTGTTTATGTATTTTGGAGATTAATCCTTTGTCTGTTGATTCGTTTGCAAATATTTTCTCCCGTTCTGAGGGTTGTATTTTCGTCTTGTTTATGGTTTCCTTTGCTGTGCAAAAGCTTTGAAGTTTCATTAGGTCCCATTTGTTTACTTTTGTTTTTATTTCCATTACTCTAGGAGGTGGATCAAAAAACATCTTGCTGTGATTTATGTCAAAGAGTGTTCTTCCTATGTTTTCCTCTAAGAGTTTTATAGTGTCTGGTCTTACATTTAGGTCTCTAATCCATTTTGAGTTTATTTTTGTGTATGGTGTTAGGGAGTGTTCTAAGTCCATTCTTTTACATGTAGCTGTCCAGTTTTCCCAGCACCACTTATTGAAGAGACTGTATTTCCTCCATTGTATATCCTTGCCTCCTTTGTCATATATTAGTTGACTGTAGGTGCGTGGGTTTATCTCTGGGCTTTCTATCTTGTTCCATTGATCTATGTTTCTGTTTTTGTGCCAGTACCATATTGTCTTGATTACTGTAGCTTTGTAGTATAGTCTGAAGTCAGGGAGTCTGATTCCTCCAGCTCTGTTTTTTTCCCTCAAGACTGCTTTGGCTATTCAGGGTCTTTTGTGTCTCCATACAAATTTTAAGATTTTTTGTTCTAGTTCCATAAAAAATGCCATTGGTAATTTGATAGGGATTGCATTGAATCTGTAGATTGCTTTGGGTAGTAGAGTCATTTTCACAATATTGATTCTTCCAATCCAAGAACATGGTATATCTCTTCATCTGTTGGTATCATCTTTAATTTCTTTCATCAGTGTCTTAGTTTCTGCATACAGGTCTTTTGTCTCCCTAGGTAGGTTTATTCCTAGGTATTTTATTCTTTTTGTTGCAGGGGTAAATGGGATTGTTTCCTTAATTTCTCTTTCAGATTTTTCATCATTAGTGTATAGGATTGCAAGAGATTTCTGTGCATTAATTTTGCATCCTGCAACTTTACCAAATTCATTGATTAACTCTAGTAGTTTTCTGGTAGCATCTTTACGATTCTCTATGTATAGTATCATGTCATCTGCAAAAGTGACAGTTTTACTTCTTTTCCAATTTGTATTCCTTTTATTTCTTTTTCTTCTCTGACTGCCGTGGCTAGGACTTCCAAAACTATATTGAATAATAGTGGTGAGAGTGGACATCCTTGTCTTCTTCCTGATCTT